TCCTTTAACGTTGGCTTGATTAGGTGACTTGAGTAATGTGGGAGTGAATAAAACACTATTATAAAAAGCACATTAAAAATCATAGATCCTTCTAATCAAACTAGCAGGCAGAGCCTACACATATTTGGCTGGAAGAAAGTAAATGCATGTGTAGGACTGCTGCCCTGCTGTTTTGAAAGGAAATTGCTTCCAATATACCAAGTATCAGGGCTAGAAGAAATGAGACTCAGGAGTATAAAAAGCATTAATGCATAAAGTAATAACATACATAGAGAACTGCAAATTAACATAAGAAGCTAAGGAATGATAGGCCTTGGAGGGGGGAAAAACTTTCTGTAGTGTTGTCAGGTTGAAAAAAGGAGGGTGTCAAAATGTGACTCTTTCTGGGAACTGGCCTTGGTACTGAAACACTACTATACATAATACCATTACAAATACCTCACTCAGATTTGTCCAGTGATGGCTCAGGCCATGTTAATTGACATATTGTTTTGGGGAGGTCTATATACACTATGATGTTATAAAAATTAAAACAAAGATCTTTGTGCTACACTTATTCACAGTTGGGTAGCATGTTGTAAACATGGAATTGTGGTTTTTCACCTTCTTATAGCAACACCAGAGGCACTCCAAGTGGCCAAATACTGATCAAAGGACATTTAGTGTAATGCCAAGTTTTTTAAAACTGTGTGTTTATAAAATACATTACAATTGTATCCTCAGTTCACTTCTGATACGATAAATAAAAATAAACCATTTCATTTTATTTTGTTGCACCAAGGAAACCAATGTGACATTCCTATGGAAACCTATAGCAATGAAACTTGGTCAAATGCCCATTTTCTTCCATCATCACTCCACTCCTTTTGTACAAACCACAACAAGATTGCAAAAGCTTAATAACAGAATCAGAGAATCATAGAGCTGGAAGAGACTTTGTGGACCATCTAGTCCAGGGGTCCTCAAACTAAGGCCCGGGGACCGGATGCAGCCCTCCAAGGTCATTTACTCGGCCCTCACTCAGGGTCAACCTAAGTCTGAAATGAAATGAAAGCACACAATAACAACAACAATCTTATCTCATCAGCCAAAAGCAGTCCTACATTTCCCATTGAAATACTAATAAGTTTACATTTGTTAAATTGTTCTTCATTTTAATATTGTATTGTTTTGAAGTGTTTTTGCACTTAAAATATGTGCAGTGTGCATAGGAATTCATTCATGTTTTTTTTTTCAAATTATAATCTAGCCCTCCAACAGTTTGAGGGACTGTGACCTGGCCCGCTGTTTAAAAAGTTTGAGGACCCATGATCTAGTCCAACCCCTTGCCAAGAAGCAGGAAAATCATGTTCAAGGCACCCCCAAGTTGCCAAAATTGTACTCTGATGACTAAAAAGAAAAAAGAAGGGTTTTCATCCAGTAAGAGTTAATAACTATTCGGTAACACCAGCCTTCTGCAGAATTTGATCCACCTCATTGGGTGCAGAGGTTGATGGGCCTATGTGCTTATTTGACAGTTCTGTTGCTCTTGGTTATGTGCAGCTATGAGCAGACCTTTGTTGTGGAGAGAGGCTGAGGGAGAAATGGAAGAGAGGACATCCTGGTTAAGCCTTGTGTAATTAACAGGAAAGGTCAGCCATGGTGGATCTCAAAGGAAAGAGGAGGAGGAACTTTGGCTAGCTGTTCCTGGTCTAGATTCCTCCAAAAATATGAGAGATGGTTGAATCTCCTGGGATCCATTTCCTTTCTTCCAAGGGACACTTTTGCTATTTCAGTGAGATACTCCCTTCCCATTGCTGATTGTGTTTTCCTGCATGGCAGAATAAGGTTGGACTGAATGGCCTTTGAGGTCTCTTCCAACTGTATGATTATTCTATTCTATGCTCAACCTTCCTTTATTGTATCCAAGGAGTTGTTTCTCTTCCCTCTAGTATTCTTCTCTAGCAATACACACACAAGCACATAGGCAATTGAAATTACAGGCAGCTTTCCATTTCCTGGCAGTTCTAGGTGATGACCTAGAACAAGAGATCAAAAGCCTGGCATCTCAGGGCCCTTCCACACAGCCCTATATCCCAGAATTTCAAGTTAGAAAATCCCACAGTATCTGAGTATGGACTCAGATAACTCAGTTCAAAGTAGATTTTGTGGGATTCTCTGCCGTGATATTCTGGGATATCGGCTGTGTGGAAGGACCCTCAACCATTTCTTCTTCCCTTCGATGAAAGGTAAGCACTGAGTCCGGAGAAGGAAAACTGCAAGCATCCGAGGGCCCTTCCACACAGCCCTATAACCTTGGATATCAAGGCAGGAAATCCCACAATATCTGCTCTGAACTGGGTTGTCTGAGTCCACGCTGCCATATATTCCAATTCAAAGCAGATAAAATGAGAGCTGTGTGGAAAAGGCCTGAAATTCCTTCACACAGGCTGCCTTCAGGAGCAACTAAACAGTCACCAAAACCCCATCAAGTTGGTGCGCACACATCTCTAGGATACAGTTTCTTAACAAGAGTTGAACCAGGTCTACAATCCCATTAAAATGAAGCAATGGGATTTAAGGTAGTTTTTAAAGCCCCATTAAACTCAACAGGATTACACGGCTTTAACCAACAGGCCTGTCGATTTGGAAAAGTGGAGACGCAGGGAGTCAAGTTTGAGTGGCTTTAGAAAGGAAGGAGGCGGCATCGCTTCCCTTTCCTGACGGATCCGGCACTCTCCCGTCAGATTCTCCTTAGGACAACCTGCGGGGCGGATGAATCCCTCCTGTCTGAGGAGCCTCTGGGAGGACAGGCGTGGGTGGGCCCGGTTGGCTTCCCCGGCCTTGAAGACCTCGGGCTCTCCGTCACTTGTCGCCTGTCACGCCGGCGGCATCCGTCTCCCACCCCCGCGGCTGCTTTCGACAGGATCCAGGTCAAAGGCCCCACCACCACTTTCCCCCCTTCCCCGGCACCAGTCCCTCCACAGTGTTGAATGCTGAGCTTTCATTCATTCCTGGAGACGGTTGCTACGAGCAACGTGCGCGAAGAGTCGCAGACGGAGACTGTTGGGGAGGGAAGGAGGAGGGGAGGGGAGGGGGAGAGGAGAGACAGCGTGACCAGGAATCCTCCAGGACACCCCAGCAAGCCCACTCCAGATCCCCCACGCGTCTCTTCAGGCCTCCTTGGCGTTCAGAAAACAGCTCCTCTTTTAAACCCTTCTCCAGCATCCAACAAGCCCAGCTGCTAGCCTAACCCTCGGGTGGGAATCCAAGAGAAGAGGGGCGGAAAGATCACTGCCTCTCGTCGGGGATAAACTCTGCCTCAGACGTAAACGACGCCCCACATGTGACGTGAACGGCCTGGGAACTCAAACCCGAGCCCTAGGAGGACTTTGCTCTTGGCATCACCTGGGAAGGAACGCGATGGGCCGGCCAGGTTCCGCGGATCTTCCCGCCCCAAACCGCCCGCCTCTCCGTGGAGGAACTTTCTTTCCCTTGGACAAGTCGGCTTTCGGCGAGGCAAACTAGCCCTGACCTTGGACGCCCTCTCGCCAGCTGCTGCTGCTTCTTGGCACTGGCAGCCTTCGCCTTCAGGACCAGGCCTTCCCAAGAGGTCGTGAAGGGTCAGCGGAGAGAAGGGAAGCTATAGACACGGAAAGAAAACTTTCCTACACACAGACACATATATGGGAAAGCTCCCTAATATATATAGCTTCTTATATCGCATATGGGGAAGCTCTCCAATATATGTATATGCTTCTTATATCATCCCCCCTTCTCTATATATGTAAAAATATATACATACACACACATAAATATAGAATCATAGAGTTGGAAGAGCCCTCATGGGGACTGCATGGAGCGCCGTTACCTCCCGCCGGAGCGGTACCTATTGATCTACTCACATTTGCATGTTTTCGAACTGCTAGGTTGGCATATAGATATAGATAGATAGATAGATAGATAGATAGATAGATAGATAGATAGATAGATAGATAGATAGATAGATAGATAGATAGATATACACTCTCTGTGTGTGTCTATCTAGCTGTCTATATATATTAGAGAACTTCCCAATATATCTATAGGAAGCTTTCATATGTGTGTGTGTGTAGGAAAGTTCCATAAGTGTCCTATGAAACTCTGCCCGTCTCCTCCAAGACTTTCCTAAATCCCTTCCTGGGGACAGATCCTCCAGATCTCGGGGTACCATCACCAGAGAGAGATCCCTTGAGACCACAGCTTGCGATCCACAAACCTCCTCCGCACCTAACCATTCTCCAAGGGGAGTTATTCCACTGACTCTGATGGGATGTACGGAAAAACACACCTCCTGGGTCGCGCCTTCTAGGACACTGAGACCAACACGACCAACTCACAGACTAATTGAGGTCTACTGGGTGCTCGTTCAGTCTCCCACTCCGGCGGCATTCAGAGGTCACGGAAGTAAACCAACGAGAGAAGGATCTTCCTTCCTTCCCAGAATCGTGCCCCGCGTTGAGTTCCTCCAAACTAGCCCTGGGTCTCCCCACCCCACACAAAAGATCCACAACTTCTCTAGCCTAGGGTCTCTCTCCTCCAGGCCCAACCTCCCTCTTCCCTACATGACGGCAACAACTCCCAAAGAGGCCACACGAAACCAAGGATGGGGGGAGAGGGAGGGGGAGGGGGAAGGAGAGAAAGAGAGAGAGAGATCCGTGCGCGGCTCTGAGGTTTGTTTTGATCGGCCCTCGCGCTGCCTTTCCTTGCAGAGGATGGTGGAACCGAGGCGGCGGACCGAATTGGCAACCGGGAGGAGACAAAATCCCCCCCCCCCGTACTTCGCCCGGAAGTCGCTCCACCATCTCCCCTTTCCCTCCCCCCCCCTCCTCCTCTTCCCCCTCCCCCTCCCCAGGTTCCCCCTCCTTTCTTGGCCAAATCCTAGGGACACACATTGAACGCAGCCAAGAGACGATAGAGAGCGAGAGAGAAAAAGAGGGGTGGGAGAAAGAGAAAAGGGGGAGAGAGGGAAGCCGCCTTACCGAATCTCAACACATGCGTGGTTCCTTGGGAATATCCAATCCACAGTAAGCAAAACAGGAGCCGAAGGGTGCCTCTGAAGACTGGATGGCTTAGAATCGGGGAAATAATCTTCATGGTGTTCCCTCTGCACACCAGCGCGCCGGATTTGTGTGTGTTTGGGTTTGTTTGTCCTCTCGGGCGGGTGGGTTTCCCCCTTTTCTCCCAAACGACAGGGCGGGCGGGCGGGCGGGTGGGACTAGGTCGGGAGGTGGCGTGTTGTTATTGTTCTATGATTGTTGTTGTTGTGAATTGGGGAGGGTGTCTTTCGTGACCCCCCCTCTCGGAGGTGAGGCGAGGCGCTTGGGAGTGCTGGGGGCCGGCCAGGCGATCACGGCATGGTCACGCCGAAGGGAGATCCGCCACTGCCGCCACGGCCGCCGCGCTCCTGCTTCCCAGAGCCATTAGCAATCCCGGCATGATCTTCCTTCACTGCGCCAAGGAGCAACCTTCGACTGCAAGGAATGGTGGGACATCCATGGTAGTCGAGAGGGAGGAGGAGGAGGAGGTGGAGGAGGAGGAGGAGGAGGAAGCGATAGAGGAGGAGGAGGAGGAGGTGTCGGAGGAGGAGGGAGAATCCTAGAGAAATCCAAACAGACGCACGCCAGCCGGCCGAGCCTAGGAAGGAAAGGGAGGGGGGGGAGAGAGAAGAGACAGAAGAGAAAAAGGGTGAGGGGAGAGATCAATAAAGCATCCGCGCCGCCGCCAAGAGAGAGAGAGAGAGAGAGGGGAGGGGCGGGAGCTTTTTTTGGTCTCTCATTCATTCCCCCCCCCCCCCGCCCTCTCCGTTGGGCTCCCCTTTCTTCCTTCCTTCCTTCCTTCCTTCCTTCCTTCCTTCTTACTGCACTGCCGCACGGCTCCTGACGCGCAGCCAAGAGGAAGCCAGACAGACCCTTCTCCGGGTCTTGAGGCTGCCAAGGAGACAACCAGCCTTGCCTCGGGGCTCTTACGCAACTCAAGCGCCAACCCCGGTTCCTCACAATCGCCTACTTAGCATTCACCCTCATTTGAAAGGCCAGGCCAAGCCAAGCGGGACCATCGCGTGCCCAAACACTAATCTTCTGGCCAACTGGAAGGGCTAAGGGGCTATAGGGTCTCGGATCTCACACACATACTTTGAGTCGCTGACAAGGCTTGGCTTCGGAGTGGAAGCCAATGGCATTGGTTTCCGTCTGTGGCCCCTTGGAAGACATCCTCGGTCCCCCAAYTTCAAAGTCCTCTTGTGGACAAGCGTTCGTCTCCAATGTCCTCCCTCCCTTCCCCCCCCCCCCACCCCAGCCACCCAATTGACCTTCCACACGGCCAGTTTCAGCCCGAAGTCGTTCATGGGTGGGCTTCCCTACCAGCAACTAGGTCTCGTCTTGGCGGGATGCTTTATCGCTGCTGGTGGGACATAGGGGGTGAGAAGGTAGCTCTGTCTCCAAGAGTTAGGCAAGCCAACCTGGGCAGGACAGTCAGCCACCCCAGAGAGGGCTTCCTCGGTCTCTTCTGTCTTCTTCGGGCGTCCTCCTGCCCCTCCTTCCTCGCTGGAGGCGCTTAGCTTATGCTCCCTTTCATAAACATTGTCTCAGTGAAAGCCGGCGGCGAGGGTTGCCAGGAGAGAGAAGCTGCGACCAGGTGGAGATGCAACGTTATATTCTTCTACCTCAATGGGGGGAAAAACTCACTGCCGTGTAGAGTGGCCCTGCCAAGGACCTACCACATAAGTCCGGATCATCTTTCACAGCCACTGACCTCCAAATGCCCTGTTTTTCAAATCCTGACTCTTAGAGTAAGTCGTCTCTAACTCGAACTTCCATTCTAGCGCTTTTCTCCGACTTTTTACTCTCGAGTAGTAGTATCAACCATAAGAAGTGTTCCACCAACGCCAGTGCTATGTCACTTGAAACCTTTGCTGGAACAGAAGATTACTTCTATCTCTTCAGTGGTATTCACTTTTACTTGGAAGTAAGTTCCGTTAAGGTTAGTAACAAACATACAGAGGACTGGGTTGCTGTGAGTTTTCCGGGCTGTATGGCCATGTTCCAAAAGCATTCTCTCCTGACGTTTCACCCACATCTGTGGCAGGCATCCCCAGAGGTTGTGAGGTTTGTTGGAAACTAGGAAAGTGGGGTTTATATATCTGTGGAATGTCCAGAGTGGGAGAAAGAATCCTTGTCTGTTTGAGGGGAATCCTTTGTTGGGAGGTAATTAGCTGGCCCTGACTGTTTCTCCCACTTGGACATTCCCTAGGTATATAAACCCCACTTTCCTAGTTTCCAACAAACCTCACAACCTCTGGGGATGCCTGCCACAGATGTGGGTGAAACGTCAGGAGAGAATGCTTTTGGAACATGGCCATACAGCCCGGAAAACTCACAGCAACCCAGTATAGCCTCAATTTCTACTGTGGGGAGGTGATTAGGTGGCCTGACTGTTTCTCCCACCCTGGACATTCCAGAGATATATAAACCCCACTTGCCTAGTTTCCAACACACCTCACAACCTCTAAGGATGCCTGTCATAGATGTATGTGAAACGTCAGGAGAATGTCCAGGATGTGAGAAACAATCAGGGCTAGCTAATCACCTCCCAACAAAGGATTCCCCTGGGCAAGAAGCAGCCAAACTTTGACACTGCAAGACTGTTCGATGCAAATCAAGGTGATCAATTGCAACATTCACACTTGCCTCAAACAGACAAGGGTTCTTTCTCCTACCCTGGACATCCCACAGATATATAACCCTCACTTGCTTAGTTTCCAACAGACTTCACAACCTCTGAGAATGCTTGCCACAGATGTGGGTGAAACGTCAGGAGAGAATGCTTCTGGAACATAGCCATACAGGCCGGAAAACTCACAGCAACCCAGTGATTCCGGCCATGAAAGCATTCAACAACACACAGAGGATTGGCCCAGCGCCGGAATCTCTGTTCCCAGCTTTTTCCTGTCTCTATCCCCTCACACCGCACCCAGAGTATCGATTTAGTCAGAGGTGTCACGGTTTCCTAAGAAGTATAATTCAGATTTTTTCCCCCTTTTCTCTATTACAAAAGAGGGGCGAGGAAGCAAAATGGGGATTTGCGCCTTTGAGGAGATGAAGAACAATCCTCTTGTGCAGTCTGAAAGCAAAGTCCTCCGTGAAATCTATTACAGTATTGATAGGGGAGAAAGATAATTCCCATTATCGCCACGTGAAAATGAATGGAGATTAATCTGCTGTCTGGAAGCTCTCCCCGCTTCAATACAGAGGAAAATATGAATGGCAGGCGTTCTATAAATCAAGGCAGGAATGTAACATCTGCACCTACACTGCGATTGTCAAAAGTGGCATAGATCCAAATGTAGCTGAACATATCAAATCTCCTCCTTAATCTCCTGTTCTGCTCACCCATTCACTACCTGGACCTATGAAGAGGACTGCAACCCCCATGCATCTGTTTTAATTTTCACACATTGGCGGTCAGAGCTGTTCCAAACTTGTTATCTCAAAAGAAAATCAGAGTAACTTTCCATTATGACAAGTACTAATCTCTTCTTGCAGGGGTTTACTTCCAAATGCGAGGCAGTGAAATTTCCCTACTATTGAGGGATTACTGGACATCCCTGAGATTTCTTCCCCCCCCCCCCCCCCCCCGAAACCTAACCGCGGTGTCAAAACTAAGTATCATGAATGGCTCCTTCTGCAGTCTAGCAGGCAATTCAATCAAATGATCTGACTATTGGAGTACTTCAGAGAGAGAAAGGTGGGGGAGAAGGAAGACCTCGGGCTGAAAACAAGGAGATCTAGCGACTCCTTCAGTACGCAGCTGGAATATTTCAGAGGCGAAGAAGCAGCTTGAAAGTCTCTCTTTCTCGTCTCTGGGAGTCTTTCCGTTGCTTCACTTGAATCAAGATCAAGTGAGCGAAGGAAGGTGAAATCTCTTCAGAGGTATGAAGAAGCACCCTAATATTTCAGAGTACAGATATGACACAGAGCAGGGGCCTGCGGGTGATGATACTGAACACAATGCAGTCTGAATATTATTAAAATCTGCATTGTTCAAAAGCTGAGTAACCTAAGTTTCTTCCTATGCTCTGGGGAAAGGTAGCAACCAGTTCTAATTTTGGGTTGTTGTGAGTTTTCCGGGCTGTATAGCCATGTTCCAGAAGCATTCTCTCCTGACGTTTCACCTGCATCTATGGCTGAGGTTGTGAGGTGTGTGTCTTGGAATAGTTTATCCCCTTAGAGATGTTCAGTGTATTATCGAAGGCTTTCATGGCCTGAATCACTAAATTATTGTGAGTTTTCCAGGCTGCATGGCCATGTTCCAGAAGCATTATCTCCTGACGTTTCACCTACATCTATGGCAGGCATCCTCAGAGGTTGTGAGATGTGTGTCTTGGAATAGTTTTCCCCTTAGAGATGTTCAATGTATTGTCGAAGGCTTTCATGGCTGGAATAGCTGGGTTGTTGTGAGTTTTCCGAGCTGTATGGCCATGTTCCAGAAGCAATGTCTCCTGACATTTTGCCTGCATCTATGGCAGGCATCCTCAGAGGTTGTGAGGTTTGTTGGAAACTTGCATTTATGGCCGGCATCCAGAGGTTGTGAGGTCTGTTGGAAACTAGGCAAGTGGGAATGTATTGTGGAAGGCTTCCATGGTCGGAATCACTGGGTTGTTGTGAGTTTTCCAGACTGTATGGCCATGTTTCAGAAGCATCCTCTCCACCTCTCAACCTCTGAGGATGCCTGCCATAGATGCCCATAGATGCCCAGTGATTCCGGCCATGAAAGCCTTCGACAATACAGGGTTAGTTTTGAAGGTAAGTGAATGGGGATTTTAAAAGACGCACTTCTCTTCTCTCCAGATCCAGATCTCTCCAGATCTGAACTTTAGGAGGTTCACTCCATTCTTAGCCGACAAATCAAACTCTGGAAGAAGACATGGCAGGTTTGATTGATTCTGCAACGTCCTACGCTGCAAATCCTTGCCAACAAGCAAGAAGCTATCACCACGGACAGCGACTGAACTTGTCCTGCGGGGATGTAGGCGAGCTTAAGGGGCTTTCTCCTTTTCAGCACCAAGGAGAGCACCACTTATTCCAACAAGCTTGCTGCTACATCTGTATTGTCGAAGGGTTTCACGGCCGGAATCACTGGGTTATTGTGAGTTTCCCGGGCTGTATGGCTATGCTCCAGAAGCATTCTCTCCTGATGTTTCGCCTGCATCTATGACAGGCATCCTCAGAGGTTAAAAAACCTCTAAAATCATAACAGTAAATAAAGAACAACACTAAAAGAACTGGGGAAATCCAGACAAGAAACAATCAGGCCTAGCTAATCACCTCCCAACAAAGGATTCCGCCAGGCATTCAGAAGCCAGACCTTGAAATTGCTAGGCCATTAAATGCTAATCAAAGTGGCCAATTGAAACATTCACACCTACCTCAAATAGACAAGAGTTCTTTCTCCCACCTGGGACTTTCCACAAATATATCAACCCCATTTTCCTAGTTTCCAACAGACCTCACAACCTCTGAGGATGCCTACCATAGATGCAGGCGAAACGTCAGGAGGGAATGCTTCTGGAACATGGTCATACAGCCCGAAAAACTCACAACAACCCAGTTGCTGCTACATATATCATATTTTCATAT